TAATTTACTTTTATGTTTTAATTCCCTTGTTCACCCAACGTTGTTAAGAATAAAATATTGAAGTTCTATACTGTCGCATGGTCTTTCACGAAGCTTCTTAGTTGAACAGTTTGGAACCCCATCACGATCCAGAATTCAAACGAAGCTTAAAAGGCTTACCAAATACGATCTTTTTGGTACCATTTATTCAAAGAATCAAAAGAGGACCACCAGCATATGTTCGAATAAATTGTGAAAGCGAAGAATCTCCATTAACATTAAATGGATTCTCAAAGAGAGCTCATTGATCAATGTAAATTAAATATTCAGAAAGAATGTAACGTCCTATCAGATCTTTAATGTTGTAGTAATAAAGAAATGCTATAGAAATTATAATGGCGTATCAATAAACATAAAGAGCATAGATTCTGAGAGGTAGTCAAAGGTTAGTAGCGGAACAAGGAAAGACTCATCAGTTCAAGCATTTTCTATCTTACAACTTGGATGCAATTAATAAAAATTAAGATAATTTGAAGTTACAAACAGGTAAATCAAATACCATTTAAATTCCTCGTTTGTTTCATAACATACAAATGCTTCACACCATGTATGGAACCACTCAATGCTCCCCATACGATAATGCAGAGAACTGATGGAGTTTAACATTAACACTGATAAACATGCAGGTCTTCCCATGATTTTCGTGAATTTAAACAATATGAACGAAAATATGAAGCATTTCCATCATTAAAAGTAAAAAAGATTACTCTGCCAACCCTGTCAAAACCCGTCTCCATACCAAATATTCAATACATTTTATGCATTTTTTTTTCTCAATAGTAATTCTTCTACAAATATAACATATCTTAATTTTATGATTTTTAATTTTTTCAAAAATTAAAATTAGGTATTAAATAGAAATTCTAGCAAGAACCAGATTTATTAAGTAAGAATAATCAATCATAACAATTCGTTAATTTAGATTTACATAAAATGGTATAAGATAATAAGCATCACACAAATAGTGAGTCACAATAGATGCAACCTAATGATATGTATGAAGGAGAGAGGAAATAGAAGAGAAATAACAAATATATTATTTGATTAGATAAAAATAAAAGAAAAAATAAAACACATCCTAAGTTTGCATTTAGAAAATTACTAATTAGTTGTTTTAAAATGCATCGTGACGATAGGAAGGTGTGCCCACTGAGCTTGCCATTGATTAAAAAAGGAATTAGTTTCAATAAAGCAAAGGATGATCCAAAATAATCTTAAAAAAAAAAAAGAACGTTTCTTAAAGTTGTGAGACACAACGAAAACAGGAATTATAACGAAAGCACCAGAATAAAAGAAGGGTACAAAAAAATGTTAGAATCAACACTTACGTGTACTCAATTAATATAAAGAGGTTGCTAGCCCTTGCTTTTCCGTGGTGGCCGCGTCAATTGTGTATGTCTTATACATAATCATCTATTAAAATTTGGAATAAAATTAAATTAAATCATTTTTATCATATTAAAATAAATTCAAAATTTTACCCAAACCAATTCAAATTAAATTACTATATACTTTTATGATCAAATTAGATATATATTTTTATCTAAAAACTAATTTAAGTACAACTGTGAACACCCCTGACAGTTGCATAATTGCCATGGAGATGGTTTTCACTTTTCAACGTGGTTGATGATTATTTTTTTAAGTTTGAAAATGCTTAATATTTTCGTTTTCATTTTTCAAATTCAGGTAAATCATGGGACACAAGCATGTTTATTAGATTCAGTGTCTTTCTTGTTCCTCTACTGACACTTGAATACCTCTCAGAATCTGCGCTCTTTATGTTTATATGATTTTGTAAAATGATGCATTTAAGTAATGTACTTAGCTTAATCATTTTGCAATAATAAGTGAATACTATATTTTTATCTTAAATATGAGGAAGGTCTGTAATCGAATGAAATCATTGTGAAGGAATCAGAGAAAGGTTATACATAAATTAGTGTATATTGCATATAATTTATGGAAACGAAGAGTTGGAACAAGAAGATAAAAATTTGAGTGGTAGTGATAGAGGCCATGAAAATTTCTGTAGGGCATGGAGTTGCTTTGGTTTCATGCACACGAGAAGAAAGGTAATGAAAGCATTTTGGTTGTGAGTTTGAGAGATGTCTTTTCTTGTGACATTCCAATTTGGGGAATTATGGATTGTTATCCAAATGGTTGCATAAAACAGACTTGAAATGAAGTACGACAGGGAATCCCATGAAGCCTTCTCATTGGTTACTGAGCTGCAAAACCCGACCAAGGCCCACCCACGAATAGGGTTGAAAATATTTTATATTTTTATTTATTATAAAATTTGTATTAAACCCTCACAAATTACTTATTTGTTTATATAAATAAACATATGTATTTATTCAATATATACAGTATTGCACATAATAAAAAAATTTATATTAAAATTAATTTTTTAAATATAATTCAATACATTAATATTATTAAATAGTATATTAAATACAATTTTACAAATTTGAAAAATCATATTATATAACTCATAAGTCGTAGTTTAACTATTTGATACCTTGAGCATTTTTTATATTAAATGGGAATTGGTTGACATTTAAAAATAGAAAAGACATTTAAGATGATTTTTTAAAAACAATAGTATTTAAAAATTAATTAAAACTCACAAATTATTATAATAGTAAATTAATTTATGTAATTATGAACTTATACAAAAACTTAAATTTATAGTTTTTTTAGAAACATATTTCTTGATTTATTTAAAACGTTTTACTTTAAAGATTGATTTTTTTTTTATTGTTTTCATCCCAACAGCTATTTAAATAGTTAACTTTGAAAGTTCAATGGTTAAATGTGTTGATATTAACAAATCTTGTCCCCTGATATCCTAAATAATTTTAGGATTAAAATATATTCCTCCATTCTTTTTGAAGTTCTATATTTATTTTATCAATTAACTATATATTATTAAAAACATTATTTTTTATTTAATATATATGCATTAAAATACACACATATATAAATTAAAAATTTACTATTTTTTCTACATATAGACTAATTTTACCTTAATTTTTAAAATAATTTCAATCTTTAACTTTTTTTTTGAATGTGTCAAAATTGTAAGTCGTTTACATTTTATCAAATATGGGAATTTTATTCTTTTTCATTATTTGATTATGAGACAAATCTCTAAAATTCTTATACCAATGACAAGTGTTTATTATTTTATAAAAAGCTTAAACTTATTGAACTTTAAAAATTCTTTTAAAAAATATTTTAATAAAAAAATTATCACATACGTTTAATGATGCTTTAACAATCTTAAAATAAACTAAATTATGATACATTTGAATTTTTTAAGAAATGATATTTTAGGGAAGAAAAATGTAATCTCTAATTTTAGAATAAAAAATATCTTGGGTATAATTCTCCATCCCTTTCCTTCCGACCATTGTTTCCTTGTGTCTCTCCTTTCTGCTACTGTGCCTAATGCCGATAACTATTGTTGCTTTGAGTAAAACTCCATTCACAGCCATTCACAGCCCACCAATGCTTGAAAAGGGTGGCACCATATAAACATACAAGTTGACAGAGTCATTGTATATTTTTACACAATTAGTGGGGTCAAAAATCCACTTACTATATGAAATAAATATAGAGTGGTGGATGGGGTTCCATGCAGCAGGTGGAATATCCAAACAGCTATGCTAGTGCCTTCACATACTGAAAGCACAAAATGGAACAGCTTTAGCAACCAACTACATAGTGGACTTGAGTGTGCTTACGCTACTTTGAGACCAAATCTTTAACACATACAGTATAAAGCAAATTAGCTAATAACAGGATATGGTGATCATTATGCTAATAATGAATCACCCCTCATAGGTCGACTTCGACTATGGACTCACTTGATTAGCCCTCAATAATTCTTTCTTGGAATTTTAAACGTGAATAAGAGCAATGTTAATAAAAGCTGAAACTTAGTGAGTCTATGATTCTTAGGATTAGTTTGAGTAAACTCCTTCACAAATTAGAAAAATTTTAGTATAAAAATAGAATAAAATTTCTTTCATAAGTTCAAAATAACTTATATCTTTAAATTTATTTTCTCAACTTTAACTTCTAAAAAAATAACAAAATATAAAATATTTATAATTTACAAAAAAAATTATTCAGTGTTTTTTTTTCCTGTCTCTAAAAGTTTCTACAAACTTAACCTTAGTCAGTTATAATACTCTAGAGTCAATTATTTGTATGTATTCAATAAGCAATTGCATAAAGAACTGTTTCTTAAATATTAGATGGTAGACCCACATATTTGAGCATCATCCATACAGATTCTCTTAACATTGCTTATCCTCCTCTTATTGGAGGATATAATTTAGAAATAACCTTTTCCCATTTTTGGTTCTTTAATAAGAAAATAATGCGTAATGAAAACATAACATTTCCTCTAATCAATTTATTATTATTTTTTTGTTGAGATGTCATTTTTTATTGAAGAGACTAAAAAGGAAAAACATAAAAATGTTTCGTATAAAAATCTTTTTCATGCAAAATGCAAAATCCAAGAACACAAATCGCAAAAAAAGTTCTAAAACAGAGGCAGGTATGATAAATGCTTCTTTACAGTGGGTAACTAAACGTTAAATTATTTAAATGGCAATAATAATTGAACGTAGACACTGATGTTATAAAGAATTCTAGGGACGGATAAGTGGATTACACCATTGATTTTTACGCTTTTAACTCCATTGATTTGAGTGACATTACGGAATTCTCATGCGTGCCTAGTGGTACGCAACTGGTTTTAATAGCACCAACAAATTTTTACGTTGCCCTCCTATGGAAAAATTTTTCAGTGATATGTCATTTTTGAATTGGAGGGACAAAAAGGGACAAGTTATTTTCAGTCCATATAAATGCGAGGCAAACGTTGTGCTATTTCATTCTTCTCAAGACATAGGTTAAGGTTGTTGCAGCTCTAACAAGATATGGAGAACCACCATGAGACACAAAATTGGTTCGAAAGAGCGAAGCCATTCGTAGCTGTGGTATCTATCCAGCTTGGATATGCGTGTATGGATGTTTTATCCAAGGCTGCAATGAACAAAGGAATGAGCAATTATGTATTTGTCGTTTATCGCCATGCTGTTGCATTCTTTGTCATAGCTCCTTTCGCATGGTTTTTTGACAAGTACTTCTCTACCTTCTCCTCTCCATGAGTGTGTGTTAATATAAAATTGAAGTCACGTTGCATTCTTTTAACAGGAAAGTAAGGCCAAAGATGACATTATCAATTTTCATGAAGATAGCGGTGCTCAGTTTGCTAGAGTAATTTCCTGCATTGCTAAACACAAAAATTCTCCTAGTAATGGAGAAAACAATCACTTAACTCTGATATTCGCTTTCTTAATTACTTGCAGGCCAGTTATTGACCAGAATTTGTATTTCTTGGGGATGAAGTACACTACAGCAACCTTTGCAGCTACCATGACCAATATCCTTCCTGCCATTACCTTTATTTTGGCATTTATTCTTAGGTACAACTAAACATTAATTATGGTCCAAAATATATAAAGGTGTTTCCGTGTTGGCCTTGCTTGCTTCCCAACCTGAAAGATATAGATATTCTTATATATATATAGATATGGTTGGCTATGCTAATGAATTACCACTTGTTTTTTGAGTTTAAAAAATAAAAACTGTACATCTAAGCTTTGTCTAAATGACTATCTATATTTTCCATATATAATAAGGTTAGGCAATTTTATGCTTCTGCTTAGGCTTGAGAAGATAAAAATAAAAAGTATACGTAGCCAAGCAAAGGTGGTGGGAACTCTAGCAACTGTTTCTGGTGCCATGGTCATGACATTGATGAAAGGTCCAGTACTTTTTGGGTCACACCGAAGCAATGAACACAGCCAGCATAACGGGACAAATACTCAACATACAATACTGGGATCCGTGATTATCACAATTGGATGCTTCAGTTGGGCTTGTTTCGTGATCCTACAAGTGAGTGAGTTATTATAAGTGATTATTCTACAATAATATATACAGAATATTCCCGTGAAATATATATATATAAATAGATGTTTAATTGATGAGATTCTAACACAGCTTCATATCTTTGTTTAGGCCATTACCCTTAAAACCTATCCTGCTGCGCTCTCTCTTTCCGCATGGATATGCCTATTGGGCACAATTGAAGGGGCAGCTGTGGCTATGGTTATGGAAAGGGGCAACCTTTCAGTTTGGTCTCTAAAATGGGATTTGAAGCTGCTCTGTGCTGTTTACACTGTAAGACTGCCCCACCAAACTTCTAAGAAAATGCGTTATATGTAAAATGTTGCATGGAAGATAATACAAATAAGGAAGGATGACTTAAAACAAAAAAGATAATACAAATAAGGAATGACTTCACAACATAACTTTTTCTTCCCAAACCCAGCATCCACCCTCCCTTTTTAGGTGATAAAATCCATCACATGGCATTTGTTTTTTTTTCTAGTTATGATTCTTTCACAATCAAATTTTTTATTTACCTTACATTCTTTTTCTATATCTCTTCCTTTCTCGTTGAAATACCTTTTATATCTATTATACTCTTTTTTATTCTTGTTTACTTCTCTTTTTAAGTATCAAACTCTACTACTTTGCTTGATTTGAACTTCAAACTTTATTAGATGGGGTAAAACTACTTTTTTTTTTAATAAAATAAAGGAATAAAATTTATTTAGCTTTTGTTAAAACTGATATTTATTGTTTTAATAAAATTTTATTATTATTAATTGCTTATCATCAGCTCTAAGAAATGATGTTAATAAAATTCAATCTATTTAAACTTATATTTTTAGCTTATACAAATTGAGTCAATCTGAACTCAATTAGATTTAAAACCTTTAAAATAATTTAATTTAAAACTTAAATCTTATATTAAAATGAACTTAATCAAGACGGTTCAAACTAACACTACTTCTCAGGCTGAAAACATCTTATTAGGGCATCAAAATATTATTTTCCCTTTTACACGTCTCTATTCCTGACTCTGCATCCATTTGTACAGGAGAAACTTACCTTGTCTTTCTTTTTCCTTTGCTACATTTTTCAGGTGGTAAAATCCATCTCCACTCACATATTTTTTTATACAAAACTTATATATAGCATTTTAAGTTTTTTAAAATCAAACAAAATTTCTCCCCAATAATCTGATAACCTTTACAATAAAATACAATATTAAAAGTTAATATTAATTACTAAAATAAAACTTTGATTTTAATTACAGATTAATATCAAAAGTATCTAAGATAATACCTTATGTATAAACTCAACTTTATAATTTAACTTTTACTAGGTGGAAACGGGTGTCTGATTTCCCAGACTCACCCTCATTCCTACCATCTATTTACAAGTTAGGAAAAGCTTAACCTGGAACCCGATCAAACCAAGTTTCCATATTAAAGTTGGAGTGGGTACAGGTTCTTATTATTATTATTATTATTTATTTATCTACGTCTAATTGTCCCCTCATATCTCCCCCAATTAATTATTTCATACATCAGTAATTCAAATCCACTACTAAGAGAAAGATCGTTGTCACTTTCATTTGTTAAAATGTCGTGTTTTAATTAATTAAAGATGGTACATAATAAATGAACTGGTGGTTTGAATCATATGCATGAGTGATGAGTGTGTATCAATATTCTGTACTTCATTTCGTTTACATTGAACCCTCGAGTTAGAGTCATTAAACAATCACTGGCCTCTATCTCGCTAGCTGTAACCGATATTAAGGTAGTGTTACGTAGGAAAAAAAAATATTAGCAACACATTGAGTTTAATATGAAATCTACTGAATAGGGAGTAAGAAAGACCACAAGTGATTCATCCTCTGCGTGGTTGATTAAATTTCGTGGGGAAAAAACCGTGAAAAGAGAAAATAATGAGAAAAAGAAGTTTTAAGGTAGAAAATATAAAAAAGAAAGAAAAAGGAGTGGAAACCAAATAAAGAGTTTTCTCTCCTTTTGAGGGAGGGGAGAGGGAAATTTATTAAAAGGACAAATTTATATTCATCTGCTTACCCACCCATCTTTATGTTAAAAAAAATAAAAATACAAAAGTCATTTAACATAATTATACTTTTTTTATTCTTTTTTTTTCTTACTGAACAAAGAGAAAAAGAATGTTTGAGTAAATTTTTTTAAAAAAATATAAGAAAAAAACTAGTGTAAAAAAATTAAAATAATTTCTATAAGTTAGAAATAATTTATCTTCTTAAATTTTAAAAAAGTTAAATAAGAGAGTTTCTAAAAAAATATAAGTTAATTTTAACTTATGAAAGGACTTTGATTTATTTTACTACTTATTTTTTTAGTAATATAAATACATTTTAAAAAATCATCTAAATTGGGCCAAAATCAACTTTCTTTCCTTTTTTTATTTATTCAAATAATAAAGAGAAAACCCATCTTTTCTCTTGATTTTCTTTACTTCTATTTTCTTTCCTAATTCTAAGTGTTAGCACAACTCCGTGATTTTTTTTCCCGCCTGAAAATAAAATGTAAAGAAGAGTGTTATAGGCACATTTATCTAAAATCAATAATAAAAACTGGTGATGATTGTTAAATAAAACTATGATAAGCTCTACTCATCCATCCAATGGAAGACCCGTCAAGCATGGCAATCAATTCTAACACCCATTCTAATAAACTAATTAATTCAAGAAAATATTCGCATGCAGGGCATAGTCTGCTCTGGACTGAGTTATTACTTGCAAGGAGTAGTGATGAAAACTAGAGGCCCAGTCTTCGTAACAGCATTTAATCCCCTCTGCATGGTTAATGTGGCTATCATGAGCTTCTTCATTCTGGCTGAGCAAGTGTTCCTTGGAAGGTAATCATCAAAATCAAATACTCATGATATTATTATTATTAGGGGCAGTAACTATGAAATTAGTCAAAAGCTTAATCAAATCTGATAAATGGTGTAGGCTGATCGGCGCCGTTATTATTTGTTTGGGCCTGTATGTTGTGGTGTGGGGTAAAAGCAAAGATTATAGCCCACCAAGTCCAATTATTCAAGAGCCCATATTGCCAGCCAAGGGCAATGCTAGGAAGGAACATTGCACTCACGAGGTCACCACCGTCACTAATTTTGAATCAGGAATCGCAACTCGAGAAGAACAAGTATGAAGAATGGTTACCAATTATTATGATCGATTAGATCATAGATATTTTTTTTAACGTTGTAAGTTACCCCAATAGGGCAGAAACATAACTAACAAAATGTAGTGAAAGTTCGAAAATAAATTAGATTGTTGCATAGCTAAATATCACGGCATGACAGTAAAAATATATCACAAAGGTAACAATCAACTTCCTCAATCAGTTAAGAACCGGGAATCTGCAAGTAAATCAAATATAATTATACCAAACTTCGTTTTTTATCATGCAGCAAAAGAAAATGGCAACGGTATACATGAATAAGAACATCACATAATACTATGTTGTATTTAACAAGACCATTACATTAAAATCAATTTTCCTTCATGAAATGCACTGACTTTAACCCACCATGATACTTCCAATTTGCAATACACGTTCCATTATGTTTGCAGAGTTACCTAATATTTTCATCAAAGACGAGTTTGCCCTCAATTGGGAAAAGATTCAAAACTTGATCGTTGACAATCAGTCAGCAAAAGGTGTATCAAACATTACTCCTATGAACCCAACAAGGAATGACCTATCTTATAACTCAAAATTGCTCCTTTATAACAATTGCTTTGCTTCTTGTTTTCCACATATGCGCTGGAGTTCCCGTGCTGCAGCCAAAAAAGATTCTGTAAAGGAGGAAAAAAGGCCAAATGTGAGAAGAAATATTTCCCAGATTAAGCATCTTGGATCAACAACATAAAGAAATCAGGCAAATCCAAAAAGCAGTACTAACTACTAACATAACAAGTTACCTTTCCAAATGCGGAACGATTTTTGATTGATAGGCGAACCGGTTATAGTCTGAATAACTTCAAACAACATACTCTGTGGAGTGCTTCTGAGCTCTTGTACAACCCCATATATAGTTTTCCCATTCTCAAAGTAAATATGATTATTGGGGTGTTTTGTCTTGCAACCAGCGTGTCGTTCAAACTCATATGCATTAATAACCTGAACAAATGTAATATTAGTCAGAGTCTAAGAGATAGCAACGTGGCTAGGACAAGATTTTCCTCTGTGATAAGGATTAAATAAACTTACCTTGGAAGAATTACACGACTGACAACTGCACAAGTACCCAGCGCCCTGTATAACACCTCGAAGTTCCTTCTAACAAGCACAGGAAGAACCAGAATGTGATGAAAGATAAGCTACTGTGAAAGATGAACTCATTAATACTAAATTTTACCTCCCGTGACCAGGCCTTATACTTTACTGAGACACCATCCAGCATTCCAGTGGATAGCAAACTTCTGACATTTGAAGGGAAGTTGTTTGAAGTAGCTTTTTTGGACATTTTTGTCTCATCTTTTGTCTTGGGAAGATTTTCAGTTTCAGATGCAGATGTCTGACCTGTACTAGGAAGTAAATTAGAACTGGATCTACCCAACTCTTTCTCATTCATAGCTTCTGACTTATGTGAAGGTGCTTGACACATCAACAGTTCATAGTTGGAAATGAATAAGTCAGAGGGAGTTGTATCATCATCATCACAGCCACCAAAGGAGATGATGGTGCTCTCTCCTTTAGTATATGAATGAGAAACAAATGGCACATCATTTCCCTCCCTGGGGTAAGCATGACCCATTGATGTGGTGTCATCATCAACCTTATTGAATATGTGGTTAGTTAACACAGAATTGTCATGGGCCTTGTTGTATGCTTGAGCAATAGATATGGCATTGCAATCCACCTTATTGAAACTCTGATCTATTGATATTGTATTACAAATCTCTTTATATGTCGGATGTATAGATAAACTGTCATTTCCTTTGTTATACGTTTGACCTATTGACATTAAACTGTTATTTGTCCTGTCATATGCACCATCCATTGATATTATATTGGCAACCCCTTTGTTGTAGGAGAGACTCATTGACATGGGATTATCACCCCCCTTATATGCAAGAGGATTTGACAAATTTTTGTTAGCTCCCCTATCATAGGGATTATTTGTAGTAACAGACATGACATTCTCAGATTCCTTCACCTCATTAACTTTGACTTTTCTAATTCCATCATAATTAAAGACTAATCGAGGATCTTCTAATGTAGATGACATGGATAAACCAAATGAGGATTCACTCCTAAAGGGATCCATGTTATCCTTGCTTTCCACACTCAACTTATTATCTATGCTAACGGAGGAAACATTAGCATCTGCAAAATTCATAGTTGCTGCATTTGGGTCAAACAGTTGTTCAGTAAATTGACCTGTCAAAGAGTGAAAACCTGAGGAATTTCCCCACGAAGAAATGTTGGAGTTGATCATTCCAGATAATAAATTGTTTGGGGCCTCTACTGCTTGTTTCTTATTGGGAAAGGGATCCACTTCAGGGAAATCCATGAACCACTGCTGAGTACGCTTGGACTCAACTCTAGAAGAATTATCATAGGTCGGGTCACCATCGTCCAAACACCCAGGGCTCTTCCCCGTCCAAAATGCTTGATTGTGGAAAGACTGTCACAAAAAATTCTTTAGAAAGATGCCCCTACCAAAGAATCACAGAGAAAAAAATGTAGACACTAAATCTGAATTATAGATAGAGAACAAACTTTAGCATGCATCTTATCACCCATTGGGAAAAAGAATCATAGCTACCGGCACCATTAGGAAACACGGAAAACAAAATATTGGCCACTGTTGAATCTCTACATCACATTTACTAAGGATCCCGAGATTATGACTACAGTCAATAGATCTGAACCCAAAACATGTTCACACGATACAGCACTTATTACATGAAGACACTCTCATTTAGCTTAATATTAACACCAATAGATATGGAAGTCAAAGCCAATTACTTCAACCAAATTTCCTAATCAAAGTAGCCATAAATTTAATCACTAACCCCATATATCGATAATTGTTACTAACAATGGAAATAAAAAACAATGATTAAAAATATTCCTTTCATAAAGACTTCACTTGTATCCCCACAGGGGACCAGCAACGTAAATCTTTGCATCAGCTAGTAACACATAAAAGTTTTGGTTGTCGTTAAAAATGGACCAAAGAAACATATGCAGTATAAAACACAAATAACTCGTAGTCCTAATGCTTCTTCTTTTGAAGTTGTAGCATTTAAAACACTATGACACTTGAAACGAAAACATCAAAACTTTCATCAAGGCAACAACAGCGCAAGGAGTGAGTATGCATTCCATTAGTGGATAACAATGTTCATTTGAAGAAGCAACTAAAAACGTAGAGTTCCATGCAATGAAGTGCGAAATATACCATTTCACTTGTTACTAAGACAATTCTTGCTATATTGGCCTTTCTGAGGAAACCTCCGAGTCAGTGCTCATTTGAGAAATGCTAAACACTCCTTCTAACCATGCAATTTGCCTGCCAATGAGCGCGCGCGCGCACACACACACACACCAACTTCAACTAAAAATGATTGCTTTAAACAAAAATCGAACATGCAATGCTAAAAATCACATCTTTGCAGTTAACTAATTTTGGGTGAATAAAAAAGGGAAATGCAATTACAGTACAAGGATGAACTTACGCGTTACTGTGATGAGGAAGCGGAAAACCTCAACAACAACATCAGTATGACTTTTGATTGATACCCTAATTATTGTTCTGCTGCATTAACCAGACAATGGAAATGCGAAACCCTAAGAGTAGGTCTCGACGATCACAACAAAGGAGGTGTGTGAATCATGCGTAGGTGTAGGGGAACACAGCAAGATCGCTAACAGGTAGGGGAGGTGGAAAGGTTTTGAGGATTTCGTGGTTGTCGGAAAGGTTAAACGATGGTGCTCCGCACGATGGCATCGTCACACGCCATCTTTACCGTACACGTGGTATCATCGAGTTCTGTGCGTCAGAGGTTTACCATGCGGCGGGTTCCTCACCTCAGCTCAGTGACTCTGTCTATTGTTTCGCTTTTATTTTGACAGAAAATATTAGTATTTTAAGATAATTATATTCTTAAATTAATCTCATTCAGAATAAAATTAGTTTAGTTTCTTATGCTGCATGTTAAACTTCATAATTTTGAGTGAGATGGATTATTTATTTATTTATTTTACTGATGCTATTTAAAATATTACATTAATAATATTACTGTATAATATATATTGTTAATATTTTGATAATTTAATTTTGAAAATTATATTTTAAATTATTTAATATAATAAAAATATAGCATAAATTAATCTTAATTATGTGTTTTTATTGAAATTTATTTTTATATTAAAAATATAAAAATTAATTTTTTTCCCGTAAAAACGACAAGCTAGTAGACTCAAAATAGGCTAGGCACAATAAAGAATCATTATTAAGAATGCGGAGAGTCTCAACAAAATTATTAGTACCAAAAGCAGTATTCATTTTATTATTATTCAATAAATAATAATTAAAACGCTAACGGTCTTTTTTGTTTGGGTCAATATGTTAGTGGTCTTAGTTGCAGGAACGAATAACAGTAGCTGGGTTGAAAGAAGGCCCGTCGCTAAACCTAGGGCCCGTAATGCTCATTTCTGTGGGCCCAATTCAAACAATGCTTTAAAATTTTTGACCCTAAAAAATTAACAATGAGTTAAAAAAAAGTGAGGTAGAAATTTGACTAAAAGAAAAAACATGAGGTAGCATTAAGAATTAACAAAGCCAATTAACGCTGACATTAGCATTTGGATGGGGAAGGATTTTGGGTGGAAACTTTATGCAAGTGCAAATTATGCAATGAAAAAATATTTTAATTTAAATGGTAAAATATTTAAACTTATTTTAGTGCTTGAAAGGTGTAAATGATGTATGTAGAACTCAATCGAGACTTTTGTGATCATTTCGTGTCTCAAGATCTCAGAAGTATCAAAATGATTTAGATTAAAGAATTGTCAGCACAGTAGTTTTCTAGATTATAGAATTTGTATGTCACTTAATACCAGCACTATGTCCACTCCATAAAATTTATCATATAATACTTTGTACCAAAGGTAAAATCAAGTTCTGCAATGACATGATGAATATCATACTGAACAGCCCAAGATTTGTTAAATAACAAAATTCTATACATGCATTGAATAACTATATAACAAAACCGATAAACCTTTTAATTTACATTTTTGGACGGCGATCAGTGTCACCTCCACTAGCCCCAACCCAATCATCAAAGAATGGAAATCATTCATTAGCAACAGATCAACTAAATTAATAAACCAGACATTTTGAAAATGGCCAAGCTTATATTAAATGGCCTCAGATAATAACCATAAAAAAAGAGAGAGCACGCATGATTGGACATACGCACAGCACAGCCGTTTCTTTCTTCAATTCATCACTGTCATGCTTCTGTCTTACTCCACTGCACTCCTCTAATCATTGTTAACTGGGACATCTCTGTCCACGATAAACATGTCACACATTTTTGAGCCGTGCCTTAAGAATGCATGCAAAGGCTCGCATGTGATATTTAATATTTATCGCTCCATAAAATATTAATCCTCTGTTCCAAAATAAAAGTGAGGAACACAGAACCAAAACCTTGGTGAAATGTTTCATTCGATTTCACTCACTTGACAGCGTGTCAGGGCACTCCGCGAGCTACGGCAACTTGATGGCTGCGTGACTTTACTTTCTTGGAAAGTGGTGTGCGGTACTAAGTCAGATCCCTGCAGGTGCGGGGTCTATGCATCTTTGTGCCCCCGTTAGTAACAATAGCTGCTCCTCTGCCTGAACTTTAGCGAAGCACGATGATGACATGGCAGTGTTTGTCAAGGGTCGAGAGGGACACGACCTTGTGATTGACAAATCTGGGGCCGCAATCGAGGGAGTTAGCTTCTTACGTGTCAAGTCCACGTGGACAGAGAATAGTGAATACACGGGCCTGTGGTCCGAGAATTTGGACTCTCCTCGCACGTACCATAGTTGCTCAAGCCCTTCACCTTTCCACAGAATTCGATCACACCTTTTGTTTTGTCCCATACAAACAATTTTAGTTACTTTGGTTGTAATAATAATTCTTCAACGAAAGTGAAAACATAACTAGAATAGAAAAGTGAAATAATGTTATCAAGAAGCAATTTGGCTCTGTGCATGAGAATTAAAATACCATGGCCGGTTGACGTAACTGACATCGTTTAAAGTTAGTTTATTCTCTAAAGAGATAGAAATGTTTGATGAAGATAGGCTTGTGTTTGAGTGAACCATAATAATGGATGGATGTTTCTTTGGTTGTGGTTTTATGTTGAAAACGATGGGTTTGTCATGTATGATATAAAATATATAATGCTTCCTCGCGACCCATCATTAACCATTTTGGATTTTATGACCAATGATTTCTGAGGATAATTGTTTTATGTTCATGGTTGACTAATTCCAGCATTAAACAAGTGTAAAGTTGCAAATATATATTCAACATCATACGCAAATCCCTTTGAAAAGGCCTCCACGATTAAATAAAGAAATGCAAATGGTTTTTACCAACCAAGTTAAGATTCTTAATGATGCATAGCATGGCTAAAAATTAAATTTTTTAGAGATATCTTAATGCCCAAAAGTCATCTCAGCATGGCATCACTGAGCGTCAGAGCATATGCAAAACAAACGGCAATAATGCATACAATAACATTTCCCTTTGTGGATAAGAGAAGGGGAATGGTGTTTTGTACATCTTGGAGAGACACCTCTCCTTTGTTTTAGGAATGTATTTTTAAGATATGTATATGTATATATATATATATAACAAGAGAGATAAAATTAATTGTAACGATGTCGTATATGGGATTAATTTTTAGTAATTTAAATAATCTTACCAAGCCGGGGTCCGTCGTTTTTCCTTAGACTTGTTGGTTTGGGCAACATATTGGTCAGAATCGAATAAATATTTGTAAGTAGGAGCAAAAAGTATTTTCCCTTCCTTCCACTCTTTAAATACTCGACCAGCTCTCTGCTCTATCCTTAGCTGCCAAGTAGAATGAATACAACATGCTACGTAAGAAACAGTCACACAAACAAAAACTAAAAATAAATAAATAAAGGTTTACATGGATATATACTTATAATTACCTGATCCTTCTCTAATAGTGCCTGCCAATCATTCTTCTTTAATAGCTCATGTGTGTCATTATAACCAGCAGCAAGCCGATAATTCAAATCCCCAAGCCAAATAATCTTCCTGCAGGTATAACAAATATTCAAGTGCCAATTAGTAGCTAAGGTGATTCAAAAAGGGTCAATCATTAATTAGATTCTTTTGCAAATTAGAAATAAAGAACATACTCATGCTCTAGTATGCTTTCTGGAGGAAGTGGATGACCAAGAGCTTTGAATGAATGAGAAAATTTAGTTTTCTTTAAGATTTCCGAGACATCCAAATTTCTTCGCATCTCGTCACCATCTTTCTCTCCGGAGGCCAAATGGGTACACACGAAACAGAACGTAGTGTGGTAAAATGTCATGCTGATTGATATTGAACCCTATTAATTAACCAAGAAAATACATTAATAAACAATCACACACGTCACTCCAAGCTAGTAGAGACTATAATTGTACTCAAATTAAACTCAAATATCAAACAAATTACAAAATCTAAAGCAATAATAAGGTAAAAATTTGACCATATAACGTGACATGAGAACTATACACTACATGTAAGGAAATTAGAGAAAACTAACCTTATTTCCTAGATAGCCCATGATGCCTCTACCAACACATGACACCTTTAGATTGCAAACATGCTTGTAAAGATCCGCTCGGACCCACACGCACAAGAAGATACCCACCATTTGCTTGCTGGCTGCAAGACAATAATAGTGTTGTTGTTCACTTGGGTCGCGTTGGATCCTACTCTCACAAGGCAATGTCGTAGTGCTTTCTCCATTGGAGCTTGTGTTAGAGTTCAAGGCTTCACGAATTAGGGTCAGCCACTTCCCTGCTGGCCCACTGTCTTCTGGCCCAAGCACGTTCCCTGCGTTTAGGGGTATGATCTCCTGGAACCTAAGGTGCAACACGATGTAATAAAAATAAATTAAGATTTCATGATTTTAATACAAGGTATAGCTCACTAATGTTAAGACACTTTAAAATCAAAATATGTAAAAGTAATGTTCAAAATGAATTAAAATTATGGTAGATGTACATTAACAATACTTTTATTAAAAAAATTCCCTTTTAATTCTTTCATTGGTTAACATTTGCCTTCAGTGTAATAATAGAAAAGTTGACATGTAGCACAAGTTATTGAGATAAAATATCAATTTCAATTAGAGAATAATATAAAAAAAACCTAAAGAACTATAGTTGATAGAACTAAATCAAAACAAAAAATATGTATTATTCTCTAATACAGATTAGGATATTTAAGAAACTTTATTTTCTCTTCGCCCTCTGGGAGCCTAATATTTTGTAAACAACAAGATACCCCCCCTTTCTTAAGCTCCCTCGATGTTTACGAACAATATATCTTATTCAAACTATCTTAACTAATGAATGGGTAACTCACTAATATAATATATTTTAATGAACTCTCAATGAAGGGTGCTAGACAATATCTCATCCTAAAATTTTACTCTGTCCTTAAACTGAAGACTTCTTATTGAGATCCAAAAGCTATAATGCAAATGCATGTTACTAATGAGCTGAACATGTTTAGGGTGCGTGACTTGCGTCCACCACGGTGGATCCATCCAGCGAAGCCGAACGTCAAGAGGTAGAAATACATAGCCAAAAACTAGCTACTTGAAAGTGCTGATAGCAGTAAAAGGTGAAAGTTACGATTTAATTTATATTAAGCGAGAGATTTATTCTATAGCATAAAATAAATAATTACAGTAATTAATAAAAATTTAATAATTAAATTTAAACATAATATTTTATTATATAATTGTATCTAATATAATATCAAGAGATTTTTTTTAAAATTCATTACCGTGAGTATGTTTGTGTTATAATTAGATAAACGTGAGACACGTCTTAATAATATAAGTATACGTTAAGAAAACTGGAAAATAAACGCACTATAATATTTTACGTTACCCTCTAAAGTTAAATGAGCCAAATTCAGAAAAGCAATGCACTCAGAACTAGATAATAATAGGGGGGAAAAAAGAGATTGGAGAGGGAACAACGAGAGGGGGAAAGGAGAGGGTAAAATTGTCGTTCCATTTTCGCCCATAATTTGCCCTTCTGAGCTCTAACAGCTGAGGTCTGGCCTCTCTGGGGTCTAGAGACTTTGAGTTACCATAGCCAATAATAAAAAAGTTACACAGCTGTGAAAATCTGACAACTTAATTATGAGTACAAAGCATGTTCTTACTATCAAAACTAAAACGGGTCCTTACCTTGAAGTGAGTAAATAAATATTCACAAGGCGCATAAATTGGAAACTGGGTTTGGTATAATAACAAGGAGATAACATATTTATGATAATGAAAATAACATACCCAATGACATAGATTTCAGCTGGAGAAGGCAACAGCAACCAATCCCTCAAGTTCAATCCCTCGTTCGGAGACTTTCCTCCGACATTCCAAGTCCCCACAAACATCCTACGGACACATTCACATACCACACCCTCCATCATTCTTCCAACTAAACAATACTCTAGAACCAAAATTTTACCAAAAGGGAATATATACAAGAACAAAAGTAACATATTATTTCAAAAACGGGTATGATGAGGGTGTTTACCTAAGAGTGAGCGTGTCAGTGACAAGTGGCGCCTCCTTCCCCGGTACCGAATGTTTCAATCCATTGGTGGAATCCATCAACCACCCCTCTTTGAAAATAAAGCCCAAAACCATCACTTGAGTAAATCATTTAGCCAATAAAATAAAACAAAGCAAACAGTAACTTTCACGTTTTTTCCCTCAGCGCAAAAGATCCAATATATCTTAAGATAAATTAAAACCGTGTCGCTCTGGAGGGAATCTACAAGTTCAATCATGGGCCAATTTGATTTTCCAGAAAATTAGCCACCCACGTGGCAGGTTCATTGGAAATGAACCATATGGGACCCAGGCGATTCTCAGATTTGGCCTTGGCATACCCTTAACCAAAATCACTTTCTTTTGCTCCCTACGTCTAATCACACTAGCCGGTGTATGTAGCTACTAGTACCACCACTTTGTCCCTCAAATTACCCCATAAATACACGTTTTAACCCCCAAACACCGCATCATAAACGTGGGAAAAATTAAAAGAAACCGAATTTTCTTACCTGCTATAGAGTAATCGGAGTGAAACTTGGCATTCTTGCTCCTTATATTGAGCCACTTCCTTACATCGAATTTCGGCCATGAAGACTGAAACCCGAAAATGGAAAAAACGTAAAAAAAATAAATTAAAGGATCGGAGAGATCCAAAAAACACAATATAACAAGCATGTTCATATTTCATACCTTGGATATCTTCTTCTTCAACTCTGTTCTCATTGCTTCTCTCTGACTGAACCAAATAAGACAGCAACAAATGATCAGAAACAATAACGCTGGCGCCGGAGGTTTAATAGCAAAGATGGAGATTATCCAAATCCATGTTGGGATTTTTTATAATTAAAGTTAAGAATTTTCAAATTAACTAGAGGAAGTCGTGAAGGGGAGGAAAAACAAGTTAAAATATTTTTTTTTCATTTCTTGTACGAGAAAAAACTATGTTTTGTTTATTTGGAATCTTAAACTAGTTATGAGCAGTTTTCAACGGCAATATTTAAGACCCAGTTGCAGGGGAAACGGAGACAGCTTCTGAGTCCCTAAATTATTAAAAAGAAAAAAAGAAACGAAAATTAGGCTTATAGAATATACCATATAACAAAGAAAGAGCTTAGAAAAAAACGGTAGGTGCATCTTTTTCTTGAAGAATATCGCTTACTCCAAAAACAAAAAACAGTGTATGGAGGAACCACAAAGTTGTGTGTTTCTATGTTTTGTTCGTCCATGGCAAGGAAAGGTTGTGATCACATTCAACGTTCGTTCAAAAGGCGCAACTTTTCTGATTTTTTCAAAGCAAAATCTGCATACAAAGTGGGGTTGTCGAAACCCAAAACGAGGAAAATGAAATGGCTAGTGTGAATTGATTGAAACAGATCATTCTAACTGGACCCAGAATCAGGTTCCACGTAGATGAATTCACTGTGTGGTGGAGAGCGGTGACAATGAAACGAGACACACCAAATTTAAAGGCTTTTTTCGATAACGCAGAAAGAACCAAAAAACAAAACAGATAAAGCATAGGAGGCAGAGATAGAAGCAGGACAACAACATAGAACAAAACACAAAGTAGAACATTATAGAGAAGTGAGTCAACGGCATTACTAAGTGCAAACTAGTGTGTGATGGTTTTAGAAGTAAGAGATAATTAGCAAGTAACAGATGAAACACTAAAAATTACAAGTGAGGGTGAAAGCTCTTACGAGAAATGACAAGTAAGGGGGTGTGAGGTTTGGGTGAAAATGATATGAAAAAGAGCGTTTATAATCTGAGTTTTGATGGTGCTTCCCTTTTGGTTGATGATGTGAAGAGAGGGAACAGAGAGAGGTATGAATATGATATATCATACATTCCCTCTGCCTCGTAGCTTGTTTGGTTTGTAGGGAAGGTGCGAAAGAAATGCAGACGATGTTCTGGGGGCTTTTCTTGGAAAGCCAAAAAGGGCCATTTGATTTTTGAAAAATAATATTACACTTTTTTAACACAGGCCAAAATTATACTTTTTCTAAATTATAATTACGATTCTTTTATCGTGAAATTATAAAAAAATTAATAAATAATAAATTTATATTAAAGAATTTATAGTATTTAATGTTATTGATATGTTAATATTATATAATTTTAATTAACAAATATTCGTACCTACATGTTAAAAAATTGTTATATTTAATAGAAAATTTTTTTTGTTATATTTATATTTTACCAAATTAATATATAGAGTCAGATAATTCTACATGCGTTAAACATCAACGTATTGCTACTTAATAATTTTTTCTTATAAAATATAAAATTTGTTATTGGTTTAAAGGTTTCTTAAATAGATTAAATTTATAAAATTTTATATAAAAACTAAAATAATTATTATTTTATTGTATTTTTTTATTTTAATAAATAATATATTTTAAAATATAAATAAATATACCAATAAAAATTATCCAACTGACAAATAGCTGTTTTAGTAATAAATTTACCTATCAGATGTACATTTGAATTGAATCTTGATTAAATCGAATAGAAAATAATATATATATATATATATATATATATATATATATGTATGTATGTATTATAAAATATATTTATAAAAATTTACAATAAATAAATTTTAATATATATTATTATAAAATAATATAATTGTCTAACGTACAATGTTAGTAAATTCTTACTCTAATATGTATTATATTTTAATTTTTTTAATGTAAATAAAATGTGTATTTTTAATTATTTTTATTTTTAATCAGCAATTAAATTTAAAATTAAAGAAAATATTTAGATAAAAAATTTAAACTAACAATCCTAGTATTTAAAGTAAAATGTTTTATCCTGTGCTTTGGAAAGAACAGTGAAATTTTTTACTAAAAAACATTATTTAGTGTAAAAACGCAAAAATATCTGATATTGCCCACTTTAAGTAAAATGTATTTTTATAAAAATGGATAACAACGTACCAGATAGTACATCGAAAAAAACATAAAATAAATTAAATAGTATATTTTTCAACCGTCCCTTTTGTGAAATTATTTTCTTGGACATTTATTATATTATTCTTACATTAATTTTTTAAATAATAAACTGTATTGGTAATTTGGTGATATTTATATTTATTTAAAAAATATTTAGTGTTAATTTTAAAATAAAATTTTTAATTTTATTAATAAAATATATTGAGTAAAATAAAAAGAGATATAAAAACAATCTAAAACAATTTATTTTCTAGTCCACTGGTCGCGGCGAAAATGTAAATTTATGACTCGTAAGAACAAGAATTGTAAAGCAATTTTAAGAATTATATTTTCAAAATGAAGAAGCACATCATACATGAGCCTGTTTGACAAAAGGTAATTCAAAAGATAATTGAAATAAAAAAAACTTAACTAAAAGTTTAAAACTTAATTTTTTATTGAAACTTCTTATATTAGTTTATTAAAATATAAATATTTACTAAAATGAGTTGTTGAATCAATTAATAAATATAAAACAATATATATAGATATATATTATAAAGTTTAGTTTTATCATATAGATAAAAATATAATTTGGTAGTTATAATTTTGTTAAGTGTTTTTTTTTTTATTCTTATCAGTTTTTATTTAAAGATTATATATTTTTATTTAAAAAGTAAAATTATAATTAAAATCATAACACTACTTAGAAAAATATTAATATTGTGAAGACGAGTATGAATTTTTGTCTTGAAGTAGAAGTAAGTAAAGGATAAATATTATAAAAAATATAAAGAATAGAACAACAATAATGGGTGGGTATCGTACGAATTGGACAGCAGAGGAATTTTGAAATGGGGCAAAAGCAAAATTTAACTCTCCCTTCCCTCTGTCATTGTCGAGTCCATGTTAAAGGATCAAAATCGGTTCTGCTAAATCTGTGATATGTGATATTGCCCTGTTCATATGCATTACACTCATGTACTTCTAATGCTCTTCGTCTTTTGTCTATTAATACTCATGATAAGCTCAAGTTAGTTTCCTCCACACCTACTTGAATTCAAGGAAGATGTCACAATATTGTTTAATATTATTATAATTAACGACAATGATTACCATATTAATTATATTTTAATTATAATTACTTATTTTCCTCATTTAACTTAAGTCATTCATTCGATAAATAACACTCTTGTTCATATCTTTTGTTCATATCTCTCTATTTCCAACAAAATGCATGACTTCCTATATTAGCATGCGAAGATGTGGAGCCTCCTGGATGCAATACATAGAAAGGGGTGGTACATTGCACAACAAACAAGATCTTGTCCCAATTATCTTCAAACTTGCCCATGATTGTAAACCTAATTATATATCCTAATACAAATGCTGGATTAATAATATAGTTTAGTTACAATGAGGTCAGAAAGCACCAAATTAATAAATTGATAATATAATTAAGCAAAGCTTTATTGGGTCCATCGACTCATGCTTCCAAGCACTTTCCATTTTCCTCACTTGAAGACACTTATAATGAAAGAAGGTAGGATTATAGTATGTATAGTAGCATTTGAAAAGCCTACCAATAATTATTAGGTAAGTATCAACATGATTAGTAAGGGGTTAAACTGGCTTTGTAATAATCATGATATGTAGTCAAGTGCATTCATAGATTTTCCTGGCAAAATCTTTCGATCACTTTCTATAACGTTTTTTTTTGCTTAGCTTTTCCATTAACTGTATTAAGCTAACCTAAAACCAATCCAAAATCAAGCTACAAGTACAATGGAAAACGTGTGATTTTTTAATACGAAAAATTATTGGAAAAGTATATAAGAAATACTATAATTCTTATACAGGTAGAAGACAAACTACACGATGGAAGGCTGATAATAGTCTCAATCATTCTGAAGAATTCATACACTATGAACCAGATTTCTACTGCATTTCTTGTATCACCTTATCACAAGTCTTTTCAGGTCATAGTTTCCTGCATCGTAACTCCCATGCAACCCCACACCCACGTTACCTAGTCTCTCTCCTTATATCTTCTTTTAAATTTCTCAGAAAAATTATTTTTCTTTTGTTATATTTCGTGATATGGTGTAAAGGGTTGTAAAGAAG